GGGCCTGAGCAAGACAGGCCAGACATGCCATGGAGCCCTCTCACAGTCCCTCCCCTGCTGGCCAACCTCCTGCATCCCTTCCCAGCCCTGATCATGCACCGGTGGGATCCCTTGAACTGGCCTGCACCCTCTTGCAATCTGGAACTCCTCAGGGGATGTTGAAGAGCCAGTTTCGACCTGATCCTGCCTAAGTGACCCACCAGCCAGCTGTTCTACCAGCTGATTGGTAGCTATGACATGCACTGACCACCAGGGGGCAGATGCCCAAGGCAGGAGCTGCCAAGCTGCGGTGACTTGGCAGCTGTGGTTCTTGGGTGATGCACCTAGAACCAGAGAGGAGGGAGCCCGATTCCAAGGTGCGTCACCCAAGAACTGCCCTTTTGCAATCCAGGACCCCTCGGGGGATGTTGGAGAGCCAGTTTCAGCCCTATCCCCACAGGCCAGGCTGAGGAACCCCTCTGGTGCATGAATCCGTGCACTGGGCCTCTAGTTAAAATATAGAAAACCATAAAGAAAAGAAAATTCTCATAATCTTTCTACTCAAAGATAACTGCCATTACCATTTTACCTTATATACTTTTAAGTGCCTTCCTAGGTGGTGTACACTGGCTCACTAGGCCCAATAATTAATGAATTATGCAAGCCCAAACCATTGATAACTTCATGTTAGCTATGGTGGCAGTAGTTACACCATGGAAGTTGGCAAATGCCACAAATCACAGCTTCCCTCTTCGTGCCCAATTCCATCCAGAGCCAAATTATTACCACACTACTGCATATGTACATTATATCAATAAATATAGTTCTATTTTTTTTAATGGCTTCATAGAAGTCCTTGCATATATCAGTGGTTCTCTGTGTGGTTCTTGGACTTTTATTAAAGAGCAGTTGTAAACACTAAAATTGGCCTGTATCCCAATCTTCATCCTTAAATGACTTTTTCCCCAGGGTGGGCAAACTTTTTGACTCGAGGGCCACAATGGGTTCTTAAACTGGACCGGAGGGCTGGAACAAAAGCATGGATGGAGTGTTTGTGTGAACTAATATAAATTCAAAGTAAACATCATTACATAAAAGGGTACGGTCTTTTGTTTTTTTAGTTTTATTCATTTCAAACGGGCCGGATCCGGCCCGCGGGCCGTAGTTTGCCCACGGCTGCCCTAGAATGATTGCTTTGGACTCGAATGGCATTAATAGAGTCTGCCAAATTGCCAAGATTCCAGATTTATACAGCCTTAGAAATAATTTGATGATTTAATAATTTACTGCCTTAATTAAGCATTCAATAATTTTGTTCTTAGTGATATCTCCAAAGTTTATAGTTTTGACTTGAATAATTAGTTCTCAGACATGCTGCTTGCTCTGAAATAAATGATGAACATTGGAGATGAAATGATACTCCCACTATTCTTTAGTGTTTTATCTTACCTTCCACTATAGTATGGTAGCTTGGGTAATTACGTAGCCTTAGTCAAGTTGCCTAATTTCTTTGTGCCTCAGTTTTCTTACTTATAAAATTGAGCTACTAATACCCATCTCACAGGGTTATCATCAGGATTAAATGCAATATGATATGTAATGTGCATAACACAATTCTCATAGACACTTAGTAATTGATAAATTCCTTTCATTTTCTCTTCTTAATTTAAGTGTTATTCATAAGTTTCTTCTTTTTAAATTTTTATTGAATTTATTGGGGGTGACATTGGTTAATAAAATTACATAGGTTTTCATATGTACAATTCTATAATACATCATCTATAAATTGTGAGTTCACCACCCAAGGTCACCATTTCATAAATCTCTTCTTTATACTTCTTCTCCTTATACCAGTAGTTCTTAACCCTTTTTGGGGTCTTGTCCTCCTTTCAAAATAGGACATAGGTAATCACTCCTCTTACCAGAAGAATGCACATGTCTATTGAACTTTACCTGCAGTTTTGGAACTTTATAGACACCGCTCTCCCACCCCCTCCACCGAAGCTCATGCATGAACCAGGTTAAGGATTTTTGCACATCATCATCTTTTGGCAGACTATCTAGTCCTGACTTTGATTGTCAAGTCAGTGTAGATGGCTCCTAAATTTGGTTCTCTCTCTTGTGAACTTCTTCCTGCTGGACATATTTATCAGGTTATCTTTATGTAGTAGAGAGATTAAAATAAGTGAATAGAGAGATAAAGCACACATTTTAATTACTGATATTATAGGCTAAATAATTTTTTAAAAAATATATTTTATTGATTTTTTTTTTTTTTACAGAGAGGAAGGGAGAGGGATAGAGAGTTAGTAACATCGATGAGAAACATCAATCAGCTGCCTCCTGCACACCCCGCACTGGGGATGTGTCCGAAACCAAGGTACAAGCCCTTGACCGGAATTGAACCCGGGACCCTTCAGTCTGCAGGCTGACGCTCTATCCACCGAGCCAAACCGGTTAGGGCTAGGGCAGGCTAAATAATTTTTATGACATTGTGTGGCTTGACTTAGAGATCTGTGCTCCCTGTAAACAACAGCTAATCAAGCTAAATGAGGTTAAATGCTAAGGCACAACTGTCTAATTTCCTGGTGTATCTGTTAGAGCTTACTTGTAAACTTTTGAAAAGGGTTTTGGTCACAAATTGTAGCCAGGAAATCAGTTTCCGAGAAACCACAAAATATGGTAACTTCTTTTATTTTTATTATTTAAATATTTTGGTAACTTCTTTTAGATTATAGATTATAGCCAAAATGTAATTTTATCTAAAAGTTCGCTGTTTCAGCTAGTATTATGGATGTCTGTGTGTTACTAGAGCCT